AATACCGGGTTCATTAAAAAGAACTGTGATCATTTTTATCGTGCAGATTGTAGACGAGGGCTGCAAAAAGTAAATCAAACACACAAATACATATGTAACTATAAAACGTGGCAAGTGCTCTCAAGGAAGGGGATTGAATATTCTGGACTGATATAAGAGGAAAACCTAATTTAGATTGCCTGCCTGTAATCCCAGCCACTTGAGAGGCTGAGGGAGGAGGATCACAAATTCAAGGTCAACTCCAGCAATTTAGTAAGCCCTTTCTCACAGACTCATTTTTTCATTGTGTATAATTAACTGGGCTTTTTTTTTTTTTTGGATGGTGCTGGGGATTGAACCCAGTGCCTTGCACATGCTAGGAAATCACTTTACCACCAAGCCACATCCTCATCCCCTTCAAAACCATTTTTTAAAAAATGAACTGAGGATGTAGCACAGTGGTAGAGTACTTCYGGGTTCAATCCCCAGTACCGCCCCCACACCAAAAAAAAAAAAAATGAGCAATGCTCCAATTAACTATCATACTTGTGTCAATTAGTGACAGGAAAAGTTTTTGAGCCATGATTGGTTATATGATTTTATTGTTATGTAAGTATCCTAGGGTTACTTGCACAAACCTCGGTGGTGGTTGTCAATCTCTAGATGTGTCCTTTTGATGCAATCAAGAGATGCCATCAACACAAGATGTTTGAGGCTGCTACAGGTCACACAAAACACAGTTTCCAAAGTGCAAGAGCTCTAAATGCTACCGGAAATGATTTGGGGGAAGGGGGTGCTCAGATTTAATGCATGCACGGGCTCAACCCTAAGCAACACAGAGCAGGTCATGACTTCTTCAATTCTTTCATTCTTTATGGCAAGATGCAATTCTCAGCACAACTTCTGCCAGCAGCATTGWGCCCAAGGCAAAGACTAATGTGGCTTTAGTGTTATTCTCTCCATCTAGAAATGTTTGGCATTGCTTTGTTTTCGTTGCACTTATTTTTTCTTTTATGAAGACCTACTTTTATAGCAAGAGATCATGTTTTTTTTTTTTCACTGAAATTGTAACACATCCTTTTGAAATTCAGTCAAATAAGAATAAAGCAGAGCTGGGCATGATGGCACACATCTGCAATCCCAGCGGCTCAAGAGGCCGAGGCAGGAGGATTATGAGTTCAAAGCTAGCCTCAGCAACTTAGTGAGGCTCTAAGCAACTTAGTGAGACCCTTGTCTCAAAATAAAAAATATAAAGGGCTGGGGATGTGACTCAGTGGTTAAGTGCTCCTGGCTTCAATCCCTGGTACCAAAAAAAAAAAAAGTGAAGCAAACATTTAAAGTAATCAATAATAATCATACAGGTGTATAGGTCATGTATCAAAAGAAAACAGAAGGTTGTTAGAGACCAACTCAAGATAACAGATTGTCTTGTCCAGTCCCTTTCTGTCTCGACCTCACAGAGGATCTCCATACAACAGAAGAACACTGCAGATGCTATTATACAGTGCCTTCCATCCTTGGGTGCTTGCTCATATCACACCTGTTGTGTGACATGTGGCTGCTTACATGCAACCATCTTGGCCTGAACATGTGGCTCTGAAAAACTTGACACACAGTGGCTTTAGTCTTCTTGGAATCTCATGTAATAGATACCACTTAGGGGGTAGGGGGATAGGTTTAAGCTCCTCCAGGGTTTAGGGCTCCTCTTATCCTATTTTATGTTCAGAGCCATTTGCAAAAAAAAAAAAAAGAAAGAAAAAAATTTCATCCCAAGTACTTGTGGATTAATTGGCTATTGAATTGAGCCCTTTATAATCTGAAAAAAAAATCAACCTGCCTAAGAATTACTTTGTGTGTGTGTGTACATGTATGCATGCACATGTGATCAGTTATTGAATAAAATATTATACCTTTTCCATCTTCAACCCATTATAAAACATAAAAGTACCCAAAGTTGGTAAAATATATTTTATTTGTTCATACAAAGAAATAGTATGAATTACCAGAATTTCATTTTCCTAGAAACATCTTTCTCTGTGTAAAATTAATTTGTGTTATACATAGGACAAAATACTTGATTTAATTTTTTTTTGTACATATTGGCTATTCTAACATCCAGGTTATAGAAGACATACTGCTAGAATTTGCTCAGTATTTTTTAGATTACTGGGCTGAATGTAACTCAGTCATAAATTAATGTTACAAAACTGAAAAAAAAATCTAACCACACCTTTAAGTTTTACTAACCATTCTTCTTATAAAACAGAAGGGAAATGACATGGACTTCTGAATCAGCATTTCAGATACTTACTAAAATCATTCTAGTTTATTAGAACCTTCCATTTTCCTTTTCTTATGAGAATATCCTGCTAGGACCTGCAACTGTGTTCTCCAAAGGTCTAAAATTTATATGTCCCTCAAAATGACTCCCCCAAAGAATCCCATGAAAAAGACAATTTCTGCTCTTCTGTTATCCAATTAAAATTTTATTCCATAATCCCTATACCTAAAATATCTTTCCAGGTACCACCTTTTAAGTTAACAGACTACYGTACACAAACGCCTCAAAGAAAACATTGGAAAGGTAGAAATAATTTTTAAAAATCTCCAATTTCTTGTTAACCTTTTTAATTTTTTGTTTTTAGTGAGAAAAGAAACGAAACTGAGAGAAATAAGATACTTGGATGAATACCAGAGCTTTTCCTGTAAATTGGAAGAAAACCAAACATATGTTGGGACAAATTGCCTAAACATGAAATGATATTTTTTTCTTCTAGCAGCTAAAAAGTTAAGCTTGGTGGCCTTGCAGATGGCCAGAACAGGAAGAAACCCAAGGCTTAATTTTCCGTGTTGCCTAACTTCCCTAAGAAGAAGACAGGCGGGTCCTATAGTAACTATCACGTGATGTGGTGTAACCTGGGGGCAGAAGCTGCGTCCGGATCAGCCAGGAACTACAAGCTATCAGAGTCCTAGGAAGAGATGCATATGACATTTGATTTATTTGTCTCACATAGAAAAAAAACTTGCCCTGCTCCATCAGTACTAATTATYGACATCTGTTTGGATTCAAGGACTTGACCCAGAATAGAATTTTGACCCATTTCAGTGTTCATGACTAAATGACCCTCCTATCTGAAAAGTTCCTGTTTCATTCTTATTTGAAAGCAGGGGATAAACAACTCAATTAAAAATCGTCCTGTTTGGAAAGAGGGCAGGGACCCGAAGGGAAAGGAAAAGTTCATACATATTGTGGTACAGTTTTGTGGCATACCTTTCTCTGAACTTTTCTACAATCTCCATGGTGAGTCATGTTAGACCATAAGGGGGTCCGGAAGGCCGATGGGACAGGACTAGGTGAAGGACTTGCATACTGCCTTTAAGGTCAAGAGAGGTTATGCTGTAACTGAAAAAGAAGTGTTCTCACTTTGATTTCAAATGAGCCTTCCAAACAGAAAAATGCACAACCAATTAGCACCCTGATGCAGGTGATTTTCCACACTCAAACAGCAAGAGTGGAGAATTATGCTATGATTCTGGGGTCGCCCTAAAGGCAGGCTATAGTTGGGCTAAAATTCGTGGACAAATACAAAACCAGATGATCAAGATAWCACTTAAAGCCCAGGGACATCTCTRGTTGGTTTCCAAAGATGAATTCCTTTGTCTTTTCCTACAGCTTTTCTGATTTGGATCTGGCAGTTTATCCCATAAACTATACAAAGAAATCCTTTGAAAATATCAAGCCATTTTGACAATGTGAGTGTCTTCTTACATATTCCTTGATGTAAGTATAATAACCGTTCCTTTGTGGTAGAAGGACTCTGGACTTAGGAAATTGAGGAAGAACTACATATGTTATTATGTGATATTGCTCTATGGTTACCCACTGGCTAGTCATAACAAAGGATCCCCCAACTACTGTGCCAACACAGAGTTATAGAGAAAGCCTTTTACACCATAGTAACAATGCCCCAACCYTTCTGCCAAGACCTGGCTAAAACAAGGGATGGCTGAACAAGTGTCAGGCTCAAGAATCCACAGGCAACTTGGAGCCAGCTTTCTCAACATGTCCTTGCAAAAGACACTGGACAGTTCTATACCTTGCCACACCTTGGCTGACGGTGAGGGATACACTTGACCTTCATGGGTCTTGACACCCAGGCCCTGGGTTTGTGCCAGTGGCTTCAAAAGCCTATGGGATTCTTTGGTGTGTCGCAGCAGAACTATCTGCCTGGAGAAAGGAGCATGGGYACTCTCATGCAGATTAGAAGAGATCATCTTTATTTTTAAAGCAGCACCCCAAGCATGTCACACATGTGACCTGGGAAGGAAGGGCTAGCATGTGCATACACTTCAAGGTGGTTAATGGACCAAGGAATGGGGCAGAAGGGAACACAGGGCCAGCCTTCAACATSGAAAGTTAAAGTGAATGGTCCCTGTCATTTAGACTCTAAAAGGATGTGATGTCCCTATACAGAGTGGCGATTCCTCCATGTGCTGAGTGGAGGTGGGGAGGCATCCTAGTGCGGTGCTTTGGAATCCTTGGGAATAAAACCACATCAAAGAGGGAAGCCGCTAGRTGAGGTCTGACCTTCAGAATGGAGGCAACTCAGCGCTCCTAGGAGGTACACTGGGCAGGATGAGTCGCAGAAGCTGGACCGTGAAACCCAAGACCCGAGGGGACAACCATTGAAGGCTGGATACCCGTAACAACAAAAATCTCAAGTTGTGCTTTTCTTTCTTTTTAAATATAATGGGGAGAGGAAGGGGGAGGAAAAAAAAAATGGAAGCACCATCAATTGTGAGGACTCGAACAAAATCTCAGAGTTAAACACTTTGGAATGTTAACCGATCATGAAGCTAACTCTCTAAAAAAGAGTGTGGCTAGGCAGCTTAGTGAATTAATTGCTTATGAATTAAAAATAAATTATTATAAAATAGATTTCTGTACATTTTACATACATATAATCTCTCTCTCTCTCAATATATAAGCCACGTGGTTAAAGGACACCGCCTGGGTCCGTTCAGTCCCAGCCGAAGTCGTGCCCGGTCATCTGGTAGAACTTCAAGTTGAAGGGCCGGTAGAACTCGCGCAGCCGCTGCACCACCTCCTGGGCGATCTCGGGGTGGGTCCTGCCCTTGGTCTTGCCCAGGCAGTGGGGTTTGCTGCTGCCCTCGGCCTTCTTGAGGCAGGGGAAGCCCTTGGTCTTGTTGAAGTAGAAGTGCTTGTCGGTGATGATGCGCTTGAGGCCCAGGAAGTCCTGCACGCGGCCCAGCTCGCCGGCCGGGTCGCTGATGAGCCGCTCGCCGCTCACGAAGAGCATCTGGCCGATGGGGAAGTGGCGCAGCCAGTGCTCCAGGTGCTTGGCGTAGATGCCGATCTGGATGGCGCTCCACGACGTGTCGATGAGGCCCGTGCTCCGGTTTTTGAACGTCAAGCTCTCGAAGGTGGGGATGTCGGGCCGCTTGGAGAGCGTCTGCGTGTAGTCCGAGATGGCCCTGGTCACCGGGTCGCGCACCACCACGATGAGCTTGGTGTCCTTGGACATGGCCGAGATGCGCGCGGGCGCCTCCCGCGTGACAAAGTAGCTGGGCGTCTTCTCCATGGTGATCTGCCCGTCCAGGGTCCTGGGCATCAGGTCCCTGAGGAAAGCAAACAGAGCAATCTAGGGTCAGAAGGTGGCGCACCCCTCTTGAGCCCCACCTCTCTACATCAACGCTTCCAATCCTGGCCATCCCTTATTAAAGGGGGTGATGGCAGAGACATAAAAATGCAAACTGCAAGCAACATTTAGAGCTAAAGGTCCATCAACGCCCCGTGGGAAGTTTGGAAGCCACATACTCTCTTCTGAAATGGGAAGACATTCTCATGCAAGATATGTTTTTCTCTAAGATCCCTCTAAGGGTGTCACCTGTTCCTTATTTTTCAGGGTACCCAGGTTTCAGATTGCCCCCAAAGAGTTGATGTCAAAACAACAACAAAAAAAAGCCCTTTGGCCTCTGGATGTGCCTTTCCTAAAAAGTAGCACCTGGGTCTCAGAAATTTCCTTACCCTTGAGTTCCCAACAAAACACAATCACCAAGCCCAGGCAAATGTTCCATAGGTTTTTTAGAAAGCAAAGGTCCCTGGATCAGGCCAGTTTGTACCCATGGCCTGGGGACAAATACCTTTGCTCTGAAAAACAGCAAAGCAACAACAACAAAAAAAAATCAGGTGAAATCAGGAAAGTGTAAACTGATACAAATACCTATGAGAAAATCCCCTAGGCACAATTCTAGAAACTTCCAAAAACACTTTAAGAAAAAAAAGAAAGTGGAAGATATCTATCACTGAGCAGGAAACAATACTGATACAACCTGTAAAGGAACAGTTCAGAGACATAGGCCATGGGATTTGGCCCATAAAGCAGTTTTGTGGCATCAAGTCACAATTACACTGATTGCACAAATCACTGGTGTCAGGCCTTGGTTATAAGACAGTAAGTCAAAAGGTACATGAATATAGCCGATCTTATAAAATAATGGTTTGGAACATTTTTGTTGTTACAGAAATGCTGTTACAAGACTATGCCGTGGTTTCTGTGAAACCATGGATAGACTTGAGTCCTGAATGTAGAATTTAGGAGTCTGTGGATGCTGCTATTCTTTTTGTAGAATATTTTCAAGTAAATCTGGAGGAAGAGGCTCAAGGTGAGCAAGGATATGGTGGGAGAATTGGAGAAAGAAACTAGGAAAGAAACCCTGGGATGGGGAGAAGGATGACACATATCCTGTGTCATAAGTTTCTGCTACACCTCAGAAGGCGGGACACATATGTGTGTGTGTGCCAGTGTGTCTCTATCAAAAGATATATTCTTACCCACAGGAGGATAGAGAGAGAGAAAGAACATTGGGTAAGATGTCCTCCTCTGACAAGACACATCCAGATGTTTGCCTTCCAAAGCTTCACGAAGGTGGGGGCTGTATGCATATCTGGTCCCCTCCTCTGTTATTTCCCTACCATCTAACATGGTTCATAGAATGACAACAGTTGTCTACTAAATATATGCTGGAAAATGAATAGTTAAGTGATCTGGGTTATTGGAAAGTCCTATTTGGAAATCTAAATGATTAAGAGTACGTCAGGGCTGGGGTTGTGGCTCAGTGGTAGAGTGCCTGCCGTGGTCAGGTGGGGCCCTGGATTCGATCCTCAGCATCACGTAAAAACAAATAAGCAACAACAAATAAATAAAGGTTAAATTCTTAAAAAAAAAAAAGAGTACATCCTTATAAATGGGCTGGGGTTTGAATCCCTCTGTCTCCAACACTTATTAGCTATGTGATCAGGAGACAAGTTATTTAATCTCTCTAAGCACTGGTATCCTATTATGCAAAATGGGAATAATTCTGTCTACCTCGTCCAGTTGTTAAGAAAAGTAAATGAGGATTGCAGAGCTGGAGCTGTTTAGCTTTACAGTTAAAGAATGTGGGCTTGGAAGTCAGACTGTCAGGTTCAAATCTTGGCTCTGCCACTTAAAGCTGTGTAACCTTGAATGATTAAACTTTTCTGGGCCTCTCTTCCTCACTGGTGAAGATGGAGATAACAACACCTATTGCATGGGAGTTTAATGAAATTTAAATAATAATCATAATATGCTTAAAATATATCTGACATACATTACCATGTCTGGTATCTGCTTGTTAAATATCAGATGCCAGTACTGTTATTATCATTAAGTTGCTCAATACCCTGYTTATGGAGGTGGTAGAGCCAAAATTAAACATCAATGTGTGTGTGCTGATGTGTCCATATAAAAAAAATAAGTGTACCAAAAAAATTAAGTGCATTAATTAACTGGGTATTAAATATTGGTCACAAGCTGGGCACAGTGGTGCACACCTGCAACCCCAGTGACTCAGGATGGCTGAAGCAAGAGGATAGTGAGTTCAAAGCCAGCCTCAGCAACTTAGCAAGGCACTAAGTAACTCAGCAAGACCCTATCTCTAAATAAAATATTAAAAAGAACTGGAGATGTGGCTCAGTGTTAAGCGCCCCTGGGTTCAATCCCTGGTTGTTTTTTTTTTTTTTTCTTTTTTTGGGTCAGACTAAAATCATCTTTTAGCTATGGGACAGAGACTTCTGAGTGATTGTCACACCTGGGCCCTGGAGTGAAAAAAGAAAAAAGAACCCACACAATTTACACATCATTTTTACCAAATATTTACTTATCAATAGAACATTCTAAACTTCTGGCTTTAAGCCATCCTAACCCACTGAGATATAGTTTGAGCACATTGATAAAAAATGATGATATAAACTGTTTATCACATGAGCCAGAAAGGGCAGTTCCCTGGAGAGGGTGAGTCCCTTCTTCCAGAACACTGCCAAGAGAAGATTTCAGGGGAAGAGCACTTTGCCCTTAAGGGAGCCTGTCGCTGCAGCTCTGTGGCCATGTCTGGTGGATATTAAAGCTGGATTGACCCACTTTGCCTATTAGCCACTTAGATTAATGAAGCAGTGTCATCAGGCTAATGTGATCAAGGATTAAAGAGTCCCTTCTCTCAATTTCTTTTGCATGTGTCTATAAAGCAGCTCAATCCAAATAAAGGCCAGGTTTCTTCCCTGTGCTAAGCCGTCTCCAATTGGAGGGTCTATGAGAGGTTAATATTCAGAATTAAAATGTTATCCCCTTGCTTTGAAAGAAATCCAACCCCCCAAATTCCCCAGGGCGATTGTGGAAGGGTAGATGTGTCTGACCTTATGGATTCTGCAGTCTGGCTTCCAGTTGCGGCTCTTGGTACCACCATTTACTGAGGCCTGTGATCCTTGGATGGGTCACTTATTACCACAGTTTTCTCATCTGGACAATGAGACCAAGGATGGCGTCCCTTTTCTAGGGTTTTGGAGAGGACGAGAGAAGTTAACCTCGGTACCCAGCCTGGTAGATGGACAGTGCTAGGAAACTGYGGTCAACGTGTCCCGCTAACAGCATTCTGGCAAGGCTGTAAGGAAGCAAGAACTGCACACAGGGGACCAGTCCCTCATTGGTTCTGCCCCACAGAGGAGCCAACAGGGAGGTTTGGTTCCCCAGAGAAGCCAGACACAGGAAGACTAGAACCTGTTCTCAGCCTGCCTTGAGTCCACGATCATCTCTGGACCCCTCTGCCTGCATTGYCTTAACATTTCTACAGAAGGACCTGGTGTAACCAAACAAAATGGCGCAACTTTTGTGAATAAGAGACCAGTATAGGACTAGTAAAAAGGAAATAGGAGATTAGCCATAAATAAGACTCCCTGAGCAGATCTACTGGGCTAGCGTGCCGGCTGGTCCCCAGACTATTCGGGAATATCATCTCTAGAGGACCCCTCCCTCCACCGTGGTCTGGAATGTGTCGACATGTGTCAGAAAATACTCATGCAGCCTCAGGACTTGGGGGCTCTGGGGCTGCTCTGCCCTCAGTGTGCCTGGAGGCCAACAAGCAGCAGTTGAGAAATAAGATACACAATTGGTTTCTCCATCACCAAATGACTCCTGTGCCCTCTCCACAGGCTTCCAAGGGCTCATCTGTAGTGGGTACTGGGATCAGATGGAGCCCAACATCTCCCCAGCACATCCCTAGAGATCCTTCTGTTAAAGAAAAAAAAAAATTACTTGATGGCACTACTTAAATCACCGGCAAGGAAGACTTTATTCAGGTCCATTGTGATAAGAATAAAATATCACAGCCACAGAGCCCAGCAATGGGGTCCTACAACGGAACCTGGTAGTGCAGGGAGAGAAATGGGGCTCCATTTCAAATGCAGCATGGGCACTGAGTAGGAATGCAGGATCAAGGAGTGGGGTTGGGGATCAGCATTCAGCAAATAACTAGGAGGAAACATCCAGGGTAAGGAGACAGGCCAGGGTAATCAGACACCACCTGGGGGACAGTGGAGGATAAAGAGCCAATCAGATATCGAGGTGATCAGATGGGGGTGGGGGCGGAGCGTTCTTGATAAAGGAATTTAGCAGGGTTCTTTGCTGAAACTGGATTTTACAAGGAAATGCAGAGATGGGCCTAGAAGAAGTTTCGGTAGTCTGATGAAAGTTTGGTCAAGGAGAGACTCTATGTCACACCAAGTCGGGAACACGGCATGGCCTGAGAAGCTCCTGGCACAGAACCTTCAAGAAGTTATAAGCAGTTACCGATTTTCTGCTTGAACTGCTCCTCTCTCCCCATCCCCCACCCCACGGCCACCAGCAAACCCCAGAGCAAAGTCCTCTCCATTGCTTCTTGAGCCCACTGTCTCCTCTTCCCCTTCTCSGGTCATACTTCCTTGTCCTCGTGCTTAGTGACCTCACCAAGTTCAACGGTGGCTCAGAGGGGAAAGGATGAGGATGTGGCTGACAGATGAGATGTGGTGGAGGATGTGGTGAAGGCTCCCAGGCAGGGAGCTTTTGCCCACCCCACAACCCCAGCAGCTGCTCCAGCCCCAGGCTGGCCTGTAGGAAGAGCACACCATGAAGGTTAATTGAGCTGCTCATTTTTAAAAAGCCAGTTTCTCAAAGGAAGAGTCACAGCTAATAATTATAGAGTACTCTGGAGCTTGCAAAGAGACTTTCACATGCATTATCTGATTTAATCCTTTGCCAAAAAAAAACCTTTGAGGTACGTACTAATCC